GGTTTAGGGTTTAGGGTCAAACCCTATTCTGATGCGACGCAGGTTTCATACCATGGCTTACTTCTGATGTGCTCGTTGTTCTGAATTGGATATGCCCCTAAAAAAAGGCTCCTATCGCAATGCCTTATGCAACCCTAAACCCTAAACCCTAAAACCCAAGCAGGCTCTTCTAGGACCCTAAACCCTTAGAAAAACCAAAAATCGAACAAACAAACCTCAACCCTAAACCCTAAATCCTAAACCCCTAAAGCCTAAACCCTAAACCCCAAACCCTAAACCCTAAATCCTAAATCCTGAACCCTAAACCCTAAACCCTAAATCCTACACCCGCAGCCCTTCCGAAAAGGTGCAGACGGGCCTCAATCGCGCCTACCTCCGAATAAAAGCCGTGCCGCCCAACGAGTTGAGAAGGCTCGCGAGTGGCTTTTTGGGGCTCTGGTTAGGGATTCTTCGTTGGGGTTCAGGATTTAGGGTTTAGGCTTTGGGATTTAGGGCCATAGGTTCAGAATCTGAACCATACAAACCGCTACGACTGCGGCCTGAGTATCTAGAATCGGGACCTGGAGCATTTCACAGAATGCCTTTGATTATAGGATCCTTAAGGGAGGGTGGCTCAAGGAGGGAGGGTCCTAGGAAGCTTTAGGGAACCTAAGGGAGCACTAGGGAGAATTGGGGATTACTGGGTTATATACCCCCCTTAGAACCCCCTCCCTTAACGATTCCATAATTTGAGGGGACTGTAAAGGATAAAGGAACCTTCGGGTTCTATAGTATTAATTAATACTAGACCTTGAAAAAGGGACGATAAGGAAACATACGGAAACCCTATACGGGGATCAGAAAGGGAGCCACGCATGTTGAGTTATTGAAACCTCCACACTCTGAATCTAGATAATGGCCTTAGGGTAGAGCATAACGGAATCCCTGAACTCCTTACCCCAAAGCCCGAGACTGCACTATCCCTTAGTTGGGGTATCCTGTGGCCCATGCTGGAGGTGTACAGCCCTCACGCCCTAACGCCCAAAACAAAGCGACGGAAGGGATACGAGTGAAGACAACACAACTTGGATTTCAACAGCTGCTGGGCTGCAAGTTCAGACCCTAAACCCTAAACCCTAAACCCTAAACCCTAAACCCTAAACCCTACCTAGCAATCTCCAGTCACGTCGGTAGACCTTGCAGCTTTGCTTGGTTAAGGGTTTAGGGTTTAGGGTTTAGGGTTT